TCTTTAGGATCAGGCTGAACTGTTACCTCTGTCAATCCCGTAGAGTCATCCAGCTCAATGGGCTGGAATTAGTGTCTCAGCTGTATGTTTTTCTCCGAGCTCTCTCTTGCTCAAATCTAGATCCCTACCATTACGTAGACTCACCGCCATCAGCTGTTTTGGGCCTTGATCTTTTGGATTGTTTGGGTATCTGCAGTAATGTCCCTTTTAGGTACGTTGTAAGTGACATTGAAATCTGGCCCACTTGTACCTCAATATATCTTGATAGCTGCATCATGTGCATTCACCCCTTTCATTTATTTTAGCATTGGACCCAGTAACCTGCTGCATCATTGCTTCAAGCCTTGCAAACCCGTCTTCCTGTCTTCCACCTGCTGTTGCTGAGGTGATGGTACCCTTGCTGCTGATTGTTGTACCTTGTGGTCTAGGGATACGGTGTCATGTTGTTGGGTTCTATGCCTCCATGTTTTCGGCGTTTACTGTGGCTGCGGTGGCCTGTACTGCTGCTGGGTCTGCTGACCCAGTTCTGATTACCTTGCCTCTGCCCCCTAGTTAGCCACATAGTTCATATCTTCAGGGTGCTGGTGATGATGATCATGCTCTGTATTCCATGGATTACAATTGGCTGGCTATGCAAGATGTGCACAATCCCCCGTGGTAAGTGTCTACTATGTGAACCTGTTGTTTCTGCCCTGATTCCTCCACCTTTTTGGTGAGGTGCTCATTGCGTCAAAAGAGTCGCCATGTTTTCAGCCATTGTATTAGAGAGATCAAGAGGCACTGAGCACCACTAGAGTGATAGGTGCATTTCTAGAAGTCCATCCCGAAATTCTGCGCTCTTGTCGAGCAAATTCTGACCTTCTTCCAAGTCTTGCTCAAGAATGCCCACCAGCCGAGGCATCAACTATATTCTTCAAGCGTGTCTGACAATCCCATGTAAAACCGTTGTCCCAACATCTGCTCTGGAACACATGGTGGGGACACATAACCAACATTCCTTTAAACCTTCCCCATGTCTCGTGTAGTGTCTCCAACGGTTTCTGTTTGAAGCTCACAATCTCATCAATTTGTTGGGCGGTCTTGTTGGGAGGATGTAACTGTGTTGAAATTGCTTGACCAACTGCGCCAAGTTGCTATGAGGTTTATGGGAAGCGAGTTTAGCCAACCATGAGCAGCTCCTGTCACCGAGAATGGAAAACAATAAATAGTCTGATTGCTTCCGAGTCTCGCCAGGCTGTATGTGGTCCTACGGATAACCTGGTGCTGATCCATATTCCGGGAGATGCGATATGGATCTGGTTGCCCTGCTCGTTGAAAGCGATCGGTCTGCATAATGCGGCTAGATAGCGCAGTGGTGGCATCACATGTGATGTGCCTTAATGATTGCCCTGCATGCTCTAGCGCAGAATCTCGCTTTATTAAAGACGGTAGCGGTAGTCTTAAATCGCCACCGATTAGCGCTTGTACAGGGCACCGGTGCTCCGAGGGATGTGAAGTGGAATCGTTAGTGCGGACGGACTGCGACTGTGGTAGATTAGCGTCCGCATAGCTGGGGTCGGCCAGATTGACTGTAGATTAAGCTAAACGATGGTCGGTTGCAGTTGAGTTTTTGCAATAGACAGGGAAGTTCTTTAAATGTTGCTTGAGGGTGCTTCTGTTTGTGTCCCACGAAGGAGTCCCTTGTTCCTTGCACAGGTGAGCATTGTTATTGTGTTGATCTGGACGATTCAGCTTAATCGCAGGCACGGATATGGCAGTGGCCAAGGATTGTCAGCTGTTGGGTGTGGCCCAGTCATAATAGTACCTCAGGACAGGAGGTGCAATTGCTCATGCCTGACGTTGCCCGTTGGGTCGTCTTATGTGCCCTATATCAATTTCGGTGGGTGTATTTGTTGTGATTGTTGAAGTCTTTTGTTTGCACGATTCAATGCCCGGAATGTCTTCTCGGGGTCTGAGAGTCCTTCAAGCAGTTCTCCAGTCCTTGTAGAATTTCTAGGCATGCACCTGTGCACCCAGATCAACAACCATCAAATTTTCAATGAAAAGAATTGGTAGAGAGAAACTGAATACAACAATAATCTTTGTATTTCTGTCAATGGCAGTTGATAATTCCGTTAACTCCCCGGCAACGACGCCAAAATTTGATCACGCCCAACTATGCCTTCTAGAAAAGAACTCTGCGGACGTTGCAAATATAACCCGAGTATTACGCCCAGGGTCGAATCCACAGAGAGTTAACCTATCAACCGCTATCTTCAAACCCACCAAGTATTCAGCACCAACTTCTCAAACATTCAAATTCTCAGTTGAGTGTTCTTTAACAACTAGCTTGCAAGTAACTAAATGGCTGTAACTAAATTAATAAGGTTGTAACAATTATGAGAAAAAGCTAAGGTAATGATTTCCCCTATTGATGGAATCCCTTCTGTTTATGCTCATATAAATTTACCCACACATCTCTATCAATCATGAACGCTAATCTTACCGCAAATCTCTCCCGAGTAATCACAGTAATCTACTATTGCACTCTCCCGAGATACACTAACTTGCTTTATTTAATCACAATTCAATTTAGATTGCACCCAAGACTTCGTTATTCCTAATCCCGCCTTTAAACCCGCAATTATAGATCCCTCTAATAATCTAGGAGTGGTGTTGTTCAACAATACCCTAAATATGCACTCTTTTCCAAGTTATGCACACTAAATAGGTACAGCTAATTGAGGATCCTGTCAATTAACTACAACGAACACGAAGTTGAACAAATAAAGATTAAACTAGCAATTTGTATTCACATAAACAAGAAGTTCATCACCCAATAGGTTCCATCAAAGCCTTAGACAAGGAATTTAGCTACTCATAGATATGGGAGAATAAACTACGCTTGAATTCATCAAAAAAATCAAAAGAAAGGAAGAAAGATGTTTAGAGTACTTGCTCACAATTGTTTTCCTTGCTAAGAAACCTAAAAAATCAATGCATGCCTCTCTTGGGCGAAGTCTAGTGTTTTAAATAGGGTTTAGGTCTAAAAATCCCGTGTTTTACTCTTAAGTCCCTGAAGTTTACTGTGCCCACCGCGGTTCTACCACGGTCGCGGTAGAACCGCGGCCAAACGCCCTCGCGGAATCTTCAACTTTCAGAAACTGCCTTCCACCGCGGTTTCACCGCGGTCGCGGTAGAACCGCGGTGGAACTTGTACCCGGAAATTTTGGCCTGTTTTGAATGGGATACTTGGGAAATTCAACAATTGGCCTTTTTTCATCAATAGTTGACTCCAAAACCGCTCCTTAGCCTTCCTTACACCTATATCACCTGCAAATCATAAAAAGCACTAATAAGAGCATTTTGTTGTCATTTTTCCACATTAAAAGTTCACAAGAAGGTGATTATTTGGTGCGTGATTATAGTCAAATTCACCTATTATCAAGAGCTAAGTTCATGTAAGGCCACATGATTTTGTCCACTATAAAAGTAAAATTACAAATTTATTTTGTCACATTAAAATAATTGAATTATGTATAAATTGCTCATTAAATATGAATGACCAGAAAGTTAACTTTTTGGCTTAGAAGATAAAAAATGAGGATTTCCATAAAGCATTATAGTTTAGAGCCTAGTAACTATAGTTTGCTTAATTATCATTTGTAGTAACTGTTTAATTGCTACCGGCTTGTATCACTTATATTGTGTCGTGCACCGAATACAACATGTGTCTCGCGCAAAATGTATAAAATGTAATCAAGGCGAAATACAGGGGTGTATACAAAGGATACGACCTGTATCGATGTATACTTGAGTTTATAAAAATGACTTGTAACGATTGTATTCATTTAGATGGAACAAATACAACTAAGGTGAAATACAGAAAAATAAAATGCTCTTCTTGAGAATCGAACTCAAGACCTTTACTAACTAAGCGGGTGCTTTAACCAACTGAACTAAGAGACACATTTCAATTCAAAAATCTCTAATTTCATGAATTTGCTATAAAATTCAAATATAGATACAAACGATAAATTTGCTGAAAGTATAGCGACGAATGATAAATACAGCGTATATGTTTGATGTGCCGCGTAATTTTTCCATAAAAAATTAATTCATCATGTAAATGTCGACTACCAGTGTAAAACAAAAGATAATTTTGTAAATATCTAAATGCAACAAAAAGAAAAAAACGATTGCTTGGCGCTGAAAATATGATTTATTGTCATTTTTATTTTTCAGAGCAAGCTGCAGGCTATGAGGAGGTGTAAAAGGTTGGACCCTGTGGGGGCCTGAGTAAAGGTAGAGGAAAGCCAAAAAGGAATTGCAGAGAGGTGATTAAGTAGGACATATATAATGCATATTTGCTGATTGAGGACATGACCCTTGATAGGAGGGTGTGGAGTTTGAGAATTAGGTAGAAGGCTAGTAACAAAACGTACTTTCCTTCCATTCTGGTAGTTGTAGTATTACTCTTGTTTTGTCTTTTTCTTGAATTTCTAGTATTATCTGACGTTGCTTATGCTCCGGCTAGGGTAAATACTTACCTACACCAGGTGTTTACACCAAATATATTGTTAATTAATTTACTTAGATGAGAATGCATGTAATTTACCATGGTTAAATAATTGAAGTCCATATGCAAGACACATGTCATATATCTATTGGTTTGGCGTAACACTCGATGTGGGTAAGTTTTTACCCTCCGGCTAGTTACTATCTCGCTATGCTACTATATTTTTCTCCTATGACTCTCTATTATATCTATATTTCAATATATTTTATTGATGTGATTGTGCTTGCCTGAGTCGAAGGTCTCTTGAAAACAACCTCTCTATCTACACAAGGTAGGAATAAGATCTGCATATATACTACCCTCCTAAGACCCCACACGTGGAAATATAATGGGCTTGTTGTTGTTAGATGAAGTCACACATAGTTCAATTACTTAATGTGATTAAAAAAAGGCTTAATGACTTCCTTATTAATATAGGTAAGGTTCAAGGATCATACCTTGAATTAATCCTATATAATTGTATATTTTTAGTCAAATTTTTTTATTATATCCTATAAGTGTTCGTTTCATAAATACTACCATGTGCCCTGCATTTGCTAATCCTGAAGTCTGAATGTTTCTTTAAAGCTCAGTCACCTTCCCTCTCTTAAGCCCATTCTTTGCAGGCATTTCTGAATAAATCTTAATATCCATTTCCTTTTGTACCCAGGCAAAAGAGAAAACTAAATCTTTTTCATCATCCTAGGACACAAAGATGAAGAACAACATAGGCAGTAACACAAAACTCATACTCCTACATCCTTATATCCAGAAACAAGGGAGCTCCAATCGTTTATTATGGGTTCTTGCTTTTATTTCATTCTTCACTCTTGCCTTTCTTCTTACTCTTATTTACACCAGAGAATCCATTACCAGTTATACCTCTGTAGCTGCAGTCTCTTCCATTACTGGTTCAACCAATCCTCCATTGTCAAACGCAGTGGTTAGGGCCCTAACGCATTATGCTTCAAACTCCAATAACACTGAACATATGTCATATACAGATATCAAACAAATTTCTGATGTCCTCCGACAATGTCAACAACCTTGTAATCTCCTTGTTTTCGGCCTTACACACGAGACCCTTCTCTGGAAAGCCTTAAATCACAATGGCAGAACAGTTTTCATCGACGAAAATAGATATTATGCTGCTTACATTGAGGAAAAATACCCAGGAATTGAAGCTTACGACGTGCAGTATACAACCAAGTTAAGTGAAATGAAAGAGCTGATTGCAGCAGCGAAGGAACAAGCACGAAATGAATGTAAGCCAGTGCAGAATTTGTTGTTTTCCGAGTGTAAACTTGGACTTAATGATCTTCCTAACCAATTCTATGAAGTGAATTGGGATGTTATTTTGGTTGATGGACCAAGAGGGTATTGGCCAGAGGCACCTGGTCGAATGTCTGCTATTTTCACTGCTGGAGTGCTGGCGCGGAGCAAGAAGAGTGGCAACCCGAAAACACATGTTTTTGTGCATGATTTTAATCAAAAAGTTGATAGAATTACAAGTGAAGAGTTCTTGTGTAAAGAGAATTTGGTGAAGTCAAAGCATATGTTGGGGCATTTTGTCATAGGAAGAATGGATCCCAACAGCTACCACTTCTGTCGCAACCATATATAACATCACACCAGCAACTTCGGTCTTCGATCAATGTATGGTAAGGTGAAGTTCATTTCATAATTTAATTAAAGAGACATGTGTCAAGTTTTGAACATATTATGCTAGAAGAAAGAGGGTCCAGAGGAGGTGTGAAATAGCTCGATCTGTTTTAAATGAATTCTTGTGTAAATGCAAAGGCCACTGTTTGTAAAAATCTATGTACGTTCCCTGCGGCAAATTGTATATTTTTACCTCAATGTCAAGTGTACTAAATTAAAGACCAATGTATGATAAGGCGAATGAATTTCATTATTTGAAGATGTGTCAGATTTTGGATATATTATGCTAGGGAATAGGTAGAGGGGACAGGTGAAATTAAATACTAACTCTTCTGGCGTAGCTCAATAAATGAAAAGGCAACTAGTTCTCTCAAAGTGTATCTAAGAGGCTGCTTACTCCAAAAGACCAAAGCTTATACTCAGTAGTCGGTACTTACAAATTTAATACATAAATAATTATATCAGCCTCTGTCTTGTAAATTGGGATGCTTGCTGTATCTTTCCCTGCCTGTGTTATCCACATTCCCAATATACATACATCGCTATTACAGATCTGAAAAATTATACTACAGAATTGCCTTGCCATGGTAAATAAATCAGAGGTGAGGTTTATTGATGGCAGCATAAGTAGTTGAACGAGCCCTGGCACAGAGATGGCGATGAGCTCGACGGCCAGAAGAGAAGTCATCAATATTACAAGGTACTTTACTTAGTGATTCCATGTCTGGGCATTTCCGGGGCTGCAAGAAGAGGGCTTCACATTCTTCAGGTTTTCTCTGGTTCTCAAGATCCAGTATGCAATTCATGCTAATATCAAGAACCTTCTCCTTTATCAGCTTTCGACATTCTGGTCCAACCTGTTGAGATATATATAACATACTTAAGACATTAGGAATGCGCTTTTTTATATACTTAAAGTTTTTAGATAAGATGCTTATACAATTTAACACGGTAGCGCTGAAGAGTAATAGGGTATCTGCACTGGGTGTTTGCAGCAAACAAAACATGACATGTGCTTGCATATATATTTTTCACTTAATCATAAGTAATACTCCCTCTGATCCAATTTATGTGAACATGTTTGACTGGGCACGGAGTTTAAGAAAAAATGAAGACTTTTGGAATTTGCGGTCCTAAATAAGTCAAAAAGGGGCCCAAAGTGTTTAATTTGTATGGTTATAAAAGCTTCGCATTAGGGTCAATTGTAAGTTTAAGCTAAATTGTTACCAAATTTAGAAAGGGGTCATTCTTTTTTGAACGGATTAAAAAGAAAATATTTTCAGGGAGTATATATTTTTGTGTTACTAAATGACTTAACCACGGGAAGTTGATATAGTTTGGTATAAATACCTGATGCCGATAAGTTTTTAGTGCAGTAAAATATATGTACTCTCTAATGGGCTAAGCAAAGTGAGATGGTAACAGGATTTAATACTAACCTGCGTAAAATAGTTGAATTTCAAGGTATGTTTTTCCAAGTGGCCGAGCTTGCACTAGGGCTGTGCATAATTTGGTAAATACCGAATTACTGTACCGAAACCAAAAATTTTGGTATTTGGTATACGGTATTTTGGTATTTGGTATGGTCTTTGGTTTAAGTTTATAAAAAAATTGGTATTAGGTATGGTATTTGGTATTTTAAAATAAAATACCGAAATACCGATACCGTACCGAAATATATATATATATATAATATACAAAACATATGTTATCAATTATAACATAAATATAAAAAATCTAAAATTTTACTTTCCTTTATTCTCGAAGTTCATCAATTAACTCTAAACAAATAACAAGACATTTCTAACGATCAAATAGTCTTTTATGTACAATTTTCTCTATTTGGGTCGATATTTGCTAGTTTTGGACAAAATTTTTGTCAACAAGCATTTTCAGTTTTGTATTTTTGAGTAATTTAATTAAGAATATTAGAGTCTATGGCTCTATGCACTAGTTAGTATTCAAACCGAATAAACCGAAGTTACCGAACCGAATAAACCGAAACCGAAAGGAGAAAAACCGAACCATACCGAATTTAATTAGGTACGGTATTGGTATAGGATTTTAAGAAACCGAATACCGAAAATACCGAACCGAAATGTCTAAATACCGTACCATACCGACCGACGAACACCCCTAGTGTTATGAACTCAACAAAACGATGCCTTGATTAACCTTCCAAATAAACTGATTATAATAGATATGCCAAGGATATAGTCATAAACTAAGTAAATAGCAACAGAAAGAAAGGAGATGAGGAGACAGAGCCATTGAGAGAAATATAGGAGGGAGAGAGAGACCACGAGAGGGGAGTTTTCCCGATAACCATTCGCATAATCCATCCTAGCTAACCCCTAATGCTTTTAACCAATTTCTGATTGCAGTTATTGGGCCTGGATCCCAAATTAACCCTTTTAAAGGCCTTCTAGTCCTCTGGATTCTTCTTAGCCAAATAACTCCTCTCAGCCCAATATATTGTTTGGGCTGATTCATAATAATACTCCCGTCCTCAATAAGAACCTTGTCCTCAAGGTTCGAGTCCCAAATCGTACTAGTAGCATAGTCGCTACAAATTGTCGCCATACCGAAGTGTTCACAGTGGCCTAGGAATAATATGTAGCCCAGTGTACTTGTTGCAGCAACAACAAGCCCGTCAACAATATCAATTAGGCTCTGTTCAGCATCAAAACTCCATATGACAAACAAGTTTTTGCCCAGCTCAATGACAGCAAAGGCATTAACTAGAACTTCAAACATATGTGCTACAAGCTCTGTACAATATGATCTCAAGTATAGTAGTAGCAAATAATTCAGGTTCTTGATCCTTAAAGCCAAGTGGGTCATAAAATCTTTCTAGCAGCAATGCAACTATACTTTCTCCCGAGCTATTTTCACCTATGATGGCAACTATCTTTGTGAAGGTCACATTTTGGAATTTAGTGTCCTCATATGCAAGCAAATCAAGCTTCAATGATTTTAAAGCTAGCGGAGTAAGCATCGAAGGATGAAAGCGCAAGCTCATATCAACAACGTTCATCCTTTTCTCCACGTAACAAAGCACACCGCTAGGATAAATGAAATTTCCTTGTCTATTTACTCGTAGAACCTTATCGAATGCCTGGGTGACCCCATACAAAAGTGCAGCAAGAAGTGTTATAATAAACTCTACAAAAGATGCCTTACTTGACTCCCCTGTTGGTCTACCATGTAAGAATTTAATGTGATGCATCAATCTGATTCCATCCTTAATCAAGATGTAACTCCCTTCCCACAGTGGTTCAAACACTTCATGTTCAACCAAAAGCTCGGGACTATCCAATATAACAGTTATGGGCAATTTTGCATTTGACATATGATATTGGGCCACCAGTTGCCTATTTTGCAATTCAAATGAAAAAAGAAAGCAGGAATAGACAAGGGTTTTAACAAGGAAAGAATCAATAGCAAACCAAGAGTGACTCATAGAGGAAACCATCAGGAAGGTTTTCAAGGCAGTCTTGCTGAAATATGACAAGAGCTCATTTAGCTTGGGACTAATACGAGATGTCCAAGGAAGTCCAACATAACATAAACATACATATCTTCATCAGGAAAGATGCACAATAACCCTCTAAGATTTCTGGCCATTCCTAGCATCGCATTCTCTGCAACAAAAAAGCCAATGCGACAAAGTAATAGCACCTCTGATAGCTGTATATGGTCAGAACTTACAAAGAAAAGTGTACCCTTAGCATCAGCCTCCTTAACACTGCACCAAATAGTAGAGACAGAGTATAGTGCATCGCAAAGACCGTTGGCTGGGTATGGGTGCACCTCCATAGCACTCAACTGCTGACCCAACTTGTCTATGCCCATCCCATCACTTCCATGGAATATAGCTTGAAAGATGCAGGCAGATACTATTGCAACAGATTTAATAAAAAATACAAGTGATCCTGTTAATAAGGTTCCTCTTATTCTTATTAGTCTGTTCCATAATGTTGACGCCATAAGCATATCACAGCATATATATTTCCTTGTACCTCCAAGGTATGTGGTAAGAAACCTTGAACCGGGATCAAAGGGAAATTCCAATCCAAATTGATCAGTTGGAAATCGACGCAAGGATGTAGCACGATAACGTTCACATAAGTAATCAAATATATCCCTGCTTATAGGTTGGTCGTGACTGGAAGCGGTAAGCAAACATTGCAGTGCTAGTGGATCATCAAATATGATAAGGTGACTGTAAGCATACTTAACTGCAGAAACTGGTTGAAACATTTCATCGGACACCTGGGTTTCAGGATTTACTGAATTGCTCCTCATGGAATTTGCAACTTCCATGTCAATTTCCCTATCCGGTATTTCAATGAACACCTTGCAGGCACAGCTTCTTGAATTGTCCTCCTCGGAATTGTGCATAGTGTTGGAGAGTCCTTTATCTAAATCAGAATCAATCTCTGGTTCTGCAATAACAAGAGGTTCTGAGAATTCCTCTGGTTTGTACTTATCGTGCAAAGACACAGCCAAGTCCGAGTGTTGTGGAGCGTCGGGGATCGTCTTGGAGGAGGCAGGCATCATGTTCTCTATGTTGTCGAGGTGTCTGAGCATGCGGGCGTTATTGTCCATCATTACCATTAGTAAATCCTTGATGACGTTGAGGTGATAGTGGATAATGGTAGAAGAGTAGGGAGCCATGGAATCCGAGACAATGAAAGCACCAATGTTATGAACTCAACAAAACGATGCCTTGATTAACCTTCCAAATAAACTGATTATAATAGATATGCCAAGGATATAGTCATAAACTAAGTAAATAGCAACAGAAAGAAAGGAGATGAGGAGACAGAGCCATAGAGAGAAATATAGGAGGGAGAGAGAGACCACGAGAGGGGAGTTTTCCCGATAACCATTGGCATAATCCATCCTAGCTAATCCCTAATGCTTTTAACCAATTTCTGATTGCAGTTATTGGGCCTGGATCCCAAATTAAACCTTTTAAAGGCCTTCTAGTCCTCTGGATTCTTCTTAGCCAAATAACTCCTCTCAACCCAATATATTGTTTGGGCTGATTCATAACACCTAGCTTGCACAGTGATTCTGGCACGGGACCATACAAATGATTGTAAGATAGATTCAGCAGTTCCATATCCCTTAAGCACCCAAAAGAATGAGGTATTGGACCTGTTAACTTGTTCACACTAGCATCAAATACAGTTGCCAATTTCAACAAGCCTATCTCATAAGGCAAGCAACCACTAATTTGATTATTCAAGAACAGAACCTCAAGGAGATTTCTACAAGCATTGCCAATGCTTTTGGGGATTTGACCAGTGAATCTGTTGTTGGCTAGTGTGATAAACAGGGCTGCAGTACGGCCAAAAGTTTCTGGGTTTTCACCAGAAAAACCATTGTTGTTAAGAAAAAGAACGTCATCAAGATCCAATGACTAAAGTCTTGATTTTTTCAATGAAGTTCCTCAAGGACAGTCGACTGTCGTTGAAGTGGAAACCATTGAAGTCGATGGCAACAACGAGGTTTTTGTAGCAAGTGTAACCTTCGTAACTGCAAACATCGTTGCCTACCCATGTTCTTGTTACGCCAAAGGGATCGCTAGTTATTGTCTTTTCGAACTTTTGAATCACTTTTATGACTTCTCTTAGTTCTGCGGTAAGATAACCTGGGATGGGTGGTGGGGGTGGTGAGTGTTTGGGATGAGGACGAGGAAGAACTTTAGGTGGCGGTGGCCGTGGAGGTGGTGGTGAGGGCGGTGGGGATGGGGGTGGGGGTGGAGGCATGGGAGGGGGACATGGTGGCTCTACAGGAGGCGGCGGCGGAGGAGGAGGAGGAGGACATAGTGGTTCAGGAGGAGGTGAATACCAATCATCTCCATTAGAAGGAGGATAGGCAGGAGCAATGGGAGGGACATCACCTATTATTATGATTTCTATTGCTTCTCTTCTGTCATTTTTGCTAGCTGAAGAAGTTAAGGCAGTTGCATGGCAGAATAAGGAGTTTGAGATAAAGAGGAATAGAGCTACTAATGCTGTGAAAAAGAAGTGACAGCTAAATAAGTTTCTTGCCCTTTATATTTTCCTACTAGTACTCTTCTACAGAAGTAAAGGGTAGATGTTTAGCCTATATAGCCATAAAAAGAAGTATGCCCAGCCCTACAACTACTACGTACCGATCGAGATACAAACTATAGTTAGTATTCACCAACATTTAGAACATGTGTTTTTAAACTATTTTCATATAAGGAGAATTGAGCCTTATATGTACTACTTTCATGTTGCATCCTGATATGTTAAATTTAATTAGAACTATACTAAAGAGCTTTTATACTAATAGTATAATTTTACTTAAAGTAGGTTGTTTGCATTATCTATATGAGTAGTTATTTGCAGTTATTTTTTACCTTTCAATAGAAAACAAAAGAAATGAAAGCAGAGCAAGTAGAAACAAAAATGAAACAAGAAAATTAGCAGAAGACAACTGTTATAGAATGAATGAATCTAGACACTTATTATAGAATGAATGTAGACTCTTTTTTAGTAGTGTACATAAATAGCAGATTTGTAGGAATCTCTTTTATTTCTTTCCTTAGTTAGCACCTGATGTACATGTATTTATATTGCTCACACAAGTTATTCTTTCCATTTCGTGCACATGGTATCAGAGCAGGGTATCCTGCTTTGTCGGACTTAGATCAGAAACTCCCCCGATCTACAAAACCCCAAAATCTGGTGGTCGGAGGAGAAGCAAGTGTGTCTCACGCGCTGATGAAACTGCCGGAGATACTTCTGTTTAAGCTGCGTGTGGAGGCATGTTCATGGACCAATCTTGGTCTAGCTTCCCGTTACAACTTTGCCTCGAAGTTTTGGTTGAATTGTGGTGGTCATGTGGTGATTGGACCACATTTTGGAGAAGAAGAGCCTTGAAACGTGAAACTGTGAATATTCTTTTTGGTCAAGTTTGAATTTTTTTTTTATTAGTTGCTGATTGTTATTTTGATATTGGGAATTGGTTGAGGTTTTCTACAAGTGCAACAGTGAATTGGATTGTTTCTCACCAATTTGTGATTTGATATTGTCTCTTGGAGGTTATCCAAAGCTTGGTTAGATTTCAAAAATTTGTCTTTTTGAGTGCAACCTTGAGTTCGGCTATTCTCAGGTTTTTGATTGCCCTGGCTACTGTCTTTTTCAAGTATTGTCTGATTTCTGCTTTCGAATATAGTCTGTTTGGGTCTTTCAGTTGGATTCTCCATCACTTATTTTGATATAGTGAGTTTTATTAGTTGAAAATAGGATGACTATAAACAGTAAGCAAGGAGGAAATAGTGATACAACTTCTAGTCCAACAATCCTGGTTTCGGATGAGTTTTTTGAGTTCCCTCAATATCATAAATCAATTAAGGAATCTTCCTCAGTTACTACTTTTGCTGGGTCAGATAAGACATATCTGATCACCTCTTCAAATAAATGGGTGATTGACTCAGGTGCCACAAATCACATGACAGGTAATCCAAATATTTTTGCTAGTTTTCGATCACACAAAGCACTCTCTTCAGTTACTGTAGCCGATGGAATAACTTGTAGCAGTGTAGGATTTGGGACAGTTAAACCGACTTCCTCTATTACCCTGTCATCTGTATTAAGTCTACCAAACTTGGCCTTTAATTTGATTTCTGTTAGTAAAATCACCAGAGACCTTAATTGCTGTGTAGCGTTCTTTCCCAATCATTGTTTGTTTCTTGATCTTACGACGAAGCAGATTATAAGGGTATTTATCTGGTGATCTCTATATCCTTGATGAATGGGAGCCACAATCTATTGCATGCTCTAGTGTCGTGTCTCCTTTTGAAGCACATTATCGATTGGGGCATCCCTCTTTACCTTTGTTGAAGAAGCTCTGTTCTCAGTTTCAGAATATTTCTTCATTGGATTGTGATCATGTCGATTTGCAAAACATCATCGCATCTCGTTAGGTCCAAGGGTTAACAAGCGAGCTGAGTCAGCTTTTGAGTTAGTCTATTCTGATGTTTGGGGACCATGTCCTGTTGTTTCTAAAACTGGACATAAGTATTTTGTCACTTTTGTAGATGATTTTTCCCAAATGACTTGGATTTACTTTATGAAGAGTCGCTCTGAAGTGTTTACTCACTTTTCTGCTTTTTGTGCTGAAGTCAAAACTCAATTCAATGCTTCGATGTGTATTCTAAGGAGTGATAATGCTAAAAAAATACATGTCAAAGTTATTTCAGTCCTACATGAGGCAACATGGTGTACTACATCAGTCTTCACTTGTCTTTGATTTCCTGGTTCTTGCTGATAATTGAATTATGGTGTTCTTTGCATTTATCTATTGGTTTTCTGTTGTTACTTGATATTCCCCGCAGTATGTTCCCCCCTCCTATCTTTACCTGTAAATTTTGGCCTTTATTTTTCCGTTGTATATGATTTAACTACACAGGTTTATTTGGTAGTCTGGTCCTAGCTCGTCACTACTTTGCTGAGGTTAGGCTAGGCACTTACCAGCATATAGGGTCGGTTGTGCTGATACTACGCTCTGCACTGTGTGCAGATCCCGGTGCTGTAGCTTTTGGACCACAGTGAGGTTGCTGCCTTCAGTTCAGTGCCGAAGACCCGAGGTAGCCCTGCAGGCGTCCGCAGGCCTTGGCGTCTTCTTCTATCTTTCCATTCTGTTTCTTTTATGTATTTTAGAGATAGCTTTGTATTTATCTTTCAGACCACTGTTTGTAGTATTCGTAGACAGTGCGTGACATTGTGACACCAATTCTGGGTAGAGTTGTACGTTGGATTCTGCACTAGTGTATGGTTAAACTATGAGTTTCGTCTTCCGTATTTCGGTTTATTATAATTATTTTGCTGTTGATCACCTGTTATATTGAACTGTTAAAAAGGGCTAAGCAAAAAGGTTAATGAATCTATAATACTCGGCTTGCCTAGCTTTCATGAGTAGGCGCCATCACGACTCCCAAGGGTGGGAAGTCCGGGTTGTGACAATATTTTTCAAACACTTTATGCCCAAGAACTCCTTCTACGTGTAGTTAATGTTTTGCCTTAATTTTTTTTATTTTGGTACTGCTAATTATAAATATGTTACATACTTTAATTAGGAAAAGAATTTATGTAAGGTAAATCTTAATCAAATTTAAAGTCCTAAATATTAGGACTCTATAAATATTTCAAAAATGATTAATAACTAAAATTCTAATTGATTTTAATGTCCTAAATTTTAGGAAAATAATTTAAATTACAATATTGTCCAATATGAAATTTATTTTGAAAGGGTAAAAATGGCGAACGACATTAGCTAAGGTCCTTCGTGCTTCTAATATAGTGTGTGTGTGTGTGTGTGTGTGTGTGTGTATATATATTCCATGTAGAAGAAGTTGGGATCATTCAAAACTCATTTGTTGTATTTGCATCCTCTATTTTTACTTATTTTCATGTAAACAGTTGATTTGATTATATAAAATTTTACGGTGACACAATGTGTAACGACCCGACTGGTCGTTTTACTTTCTAGTATCCCGTTCCCCTGAATAAGACTTCCCGTACTTGCTTTTACTGATTTATAACTTGCAGGGATGGTTGGTTCGGGATTTGGAGAAGTTTGGGTTGAAATCGGAACACTTGGTTCCTTAAGGTTGGCTTAAAAGGCCAAGTTTGACTTCGGTCAACGTTTTGATTCCTTAAGGATTTTGAAGTTCTTAGATATTTGGTTTGGAGCGGGTTTTTGTGTTATCGAGGTCCGAACGGAATTTCGAGGCCGGGAATAGTTCCGTATTATCATTTAAGACTTGCACGCAAAGTTTGGTGTCAATCCGAGTAGTATAAGTGTATTTCGTCACATTGGATGTAAATTGAAGAACTTGAAGTTCATAAGTTTGATTCAATTGGTTTTAGGGGGTGATTCTTAGATTTTGCGTTGTTTCAGGCGTTCCGAGGGTGAGAGCAAGTCCGTTTTATGATTTCAAACTTGTCGGTATGTTCGGTCGGGGCCCGGGGGCCCCGAGCGTCAATCGGGTGAGGCTCGAGTTGAGTTAGGAAAACTTTGAAAGGAGTTGAAGCTCCAGGTTGCTGTCATAACCGCTCCTGTGGTGGGACAGCCGCAGGTGCAAGACCGTAGAAGCTGTCGAACCTTCGCAGGTGCGGCCAAGGGGAGGAGCCCAGGAACCGCAGATGCGGCTCCTTTTCGCAGAAGCGGAATCGCAGGAGCGGCGCCCATACCGCAGAAGCAGTCCCAGCCAGCCCAGCCCAACTTCGCAGATGCAGATTTTACCTCGCAGAAGCGAGACCGCAGGTGTGAAAATCGCTGAAGGCAGTGCCTTCATTTAATACGGGAATGTGACATTTTTGACACATTTCACTCATTGTTTGGGCAATTTGAGAGCTTCCAAAGAGGGATTTCAACCTAGCATTTGTAAGGTAAGTTACTTCTACTTAATGTGAGTTTAATACTTGATTTATGGGTAGATTAACACACAAAAATTAGTGAAAATCATGGGATTAGAGCAAAACCTAGGGTTTTGATAAAAACAAGATTTTACCACGAAATTTATTATGGAATGAAGTAAAAATCATATATTCTTGATCCTTAGGTTATGGGTAACAACTACCCTCGAGAATTTCTGGAATCCGAACACGTAGGCCCAGGGATGGATTTTAGGAAACTTGTATTTAGGGTTGGAAAATTACCTTAATAGTTAGAATATGAACTCTTGAGCTTGTATTGACTAGTTCTTACTCCGTTTGATTAGTTTTAGATCGTTTGGCTCCAAATCGAGGGTTTTAGCGCGTTCTTTATATTGAAAGTAAGCTTTGGAGCAGGTGAGTCTCCTTTCTAACCTCGTAAGAGGGAACTAAACCCCTAGGTGAATTAAATAAATGTATGTGATTGTCTGTGGGGGCTACGTACGTACGTGGTGACGAGAGTCCGTGCGTAGCTACTATCATGCTAATTGTACGGGTAGTTTAGGACTCATATCATGCCATACTTGCAAATATTTATGTTCTTGCTTGTTAATGAGATCACATAGGACGTGTTAGGGATTGGAAATAAATATAAACGAATGTACGCACTTACTTGAGAACTTGTATGAAATTACTTGACTATAAATGCGCCTTATGTGCCTTCTTGATGACAATTGTTAATTGTGGATGGGCCCGATCGCCTTAGTAGAAATAGATGCATCTATCGTTCGCGCCATTCGACCCTCTGGCAGTGCACAGTTATTTTTATGTTGGACCGGGCCATACGACCTCGGCATAATGTGCGCATGATATTTATGTGGAATTAAATCCATGATTTACTCTGTCTAAATGCTTTAAAGTGCAAATTATTATATGACATGACTGAAATTGATATATCATTTTCTCCTTGATTCTGAGATTGTTATTATATTCATGCTAATCATGCTTATTGTAAGCCTTATATATTAATGATATTGACCTTAGTAAGTGTCAAGTCGACCCCTCGTCACTACTTCTTCGAGGTTAGAATGGATACTTGCTGGGTACATGTTGTTTATGTACTCATACTACGCTGTTGTACTTAACTGTACAAGATCTGAGGCAGGTGCATCTAGTTACCCCTCCGGCGTGCGTTCCTGACTCCTGATCGAGATCTCACGGTGAGCTGCCCCTCCTGAGCCATTCAGCAGCATACCGGAGTTCTCTTCTTTTGTTGTCGTTATGTACTGTCTATTCTATTTCAGGCAGTAGGATAGTGTTATTTTGTATAATCTACTAGTAGCCCTACTACTTGTGACACTAGTTCGTGGCACACACTGTAGACTATTACTTTGGGGTTGCATTCTTCTGTTATGAAACTGTTGATTATCGATGTGACGACCTGACCTGTCGCCTCATGTATTACAGCCCCGTTTCCCCCATTTACTGCTTCTTCATGTTTCATTATCAACAACGAGTGAGTTATAGTTGAATTGAATTGGTTTGGATAGGAAATGAGACACTTAGTCTCTTTAAGGAAGGCTTAAGTTGGAAAGGTCAACCAGACGTTGACTTATGAGTTAGAAGGCGAGGATGTGATTTCCGGTGATTCGGTTAGCTTCGGGGGATGATTTGTGACTTGGGAGTGTGATCAGAATTGATTTTTGAGGCCAGGTGTAGAATTAGGCTTGAATTGGCGAGGTTAGTATTTTGGCGAATTCCGGTGGATGGATGAGAATTTGATCGGGGGTCGGATTGGAATTCCGAGAGTTGCTGTAGCTTCGTTAGG